TTCTTGACCAGCGTATTTCTGTCTCTGTTGTTAAATAAATATTGCCATAACAATGTCAACAGATTTTTGGAGGGCGTTACCAACAGAGCTCATTAACATAAACAGCTCTTCTGAACAGAAGTCAGAGCAGCAGAACTAGAAAATGGGAAATTTTATTATCTGAGAATTATTTTGTGCATTAAATTGAATGAACATGGTCTGGATAGCCCACAGACATACCATAAACATTTCTACGACCCATAATTGGTCTCCTTTAAACTCTAAAAGACTTAAGTTTGATCTGTTTGACATAATAAGAGGTGATCTCATTCTGTGACTCCAGCAGTGCTGCTCAGAGTCAGAGCAGCTGTGTTTTATTTTAACATCTATCTCTGGCTTTATGAATGCTCACAAGCAGCTGTTGCTCCACTGAACATTAATTACTCAGCACGCCACAGACCCGCCCCGCCACCGCCTGGTAATACAGTTTACCCCGGTATGAAAATGATCAATACCGCTCAACCCTAACTACAGGAAGAGATGTGCAGCTCCTCTGGTATTTTAACCTCCTGCAGCTCCTCTCAGCTGCTGGAACCCTCCTGTAGGTCTCGGTCATATAACTGAAGCCTCGTTGGTCATTTACAGCAGCAGGAGGTTAAAAAGCATTTTTTCCTCTGTTGCTTTTGTTGTTTGTCATTTTTACCCTTTATTTCAGACTCCCATTTGTGTTTTATCTTTTTTTTTTTATTTTGTCACTTCTGTTTCCTGTAAAGGTGCTAAAAACCCACTGAGCACTGACAGTATTTTGGCAGCAGATGTCTAAAAATTAACTGAAACTCTGATTCCAGTGAAAAGGGAGAGTTCAGCACCCCGACAAAGAAGAAAACAAAGAACCGAAGTGGTCAAGAGGTCAGATCTTTTTCATTTGTTCCAACTCTAATAACTGCTGATTTTAAAGTGGCTGACCTGTTTTTATTTCCTCAGAAGAAGAAGGTGGCAGCTAAGAGTAAAGCAGAGGCAAGTAAAGAGTTGAAATCCTTGGTTGAGGACGCTCACGTCGCCCTCTATGACCTGCGGAGCCGCAACGCAGAGCAGGCTTTCAGCCAGGCTCTGGACCTGCTGGAGACTGTAACACCCAAGGTAAACAAAATGTTCGCAGGTTGTTAAAGTAGGACAGAGCCTTGAGTTTAACATCTCTACATGTGTTTAATTGTTTTAGGAGCTCGGTCTTTCCACATTGGATGTGCTTCTGTTATTGTTTGGACAAGTTTCAGCTTTGACAGAAATTGGACAGCCAGAGGTAAATCAAACATTTTGTGTCTCAACAACAAAGAATATATCCACATTTTGTCACATTTACCAACACAAACTTCTTATTTTTATATTTTTTTTTCACTGAGAGACCAATGCACATGTCATTGTGACGTGGTATTCAGTTCCCTTTACTCTTTTCCACTACTGAGTGCGGCTCCGCTCGGAGCGATTCTACTCGGGTCTAGTTTGTTTTTCCAATGTAACCACGGTCCCGTTCTGTGGGCGGTAACGTCTTTTAAAGGTGGGTGGTATAGTTAAACTAGCAGCGCTAAAGCTGCTGTTTATCGTTGCTCATTCTGCTAGCTGTTGACATAAAGTCTGATATTTAGTCTGTAAATAATACTCATACCCTAAAACAAAACCAAAATGATTTTCTAATAAATGAAATTACAGTTACTGCACACTTTATGCCTAGGAGTGTGAGTATATGTGACCCATCGCATCGAAACGAGGATTAAGTCCAAAAGTTGTATAAGGAGAAAAAGGCAAATACAGTGTTTTGACTAAAATGTTTACAAAAATTGAATTTTGTCTAAATATAATGAATAAAAG